CATTAGACGTCTACAAACTGGTGGGATAATAGCAGTATGCCAAAATGCAACTCAACAACAAAGACTGCAAGAAACTCTAAAAGAGCACGACAAACTCTACACCAAAGATTTGCAAAACAGTGACCCAATGTTAACAATAACAGGCATAGAAGCAGGCTATAAACCTGATAGCTTCATAAGGGAATTCATACAAGACAACCCTCAAATGAAAAATGCTTTTGGAGAGAATGTGGAAAAAAAAAATAAAGTTCATCACGAAAAAACAATGTAGGAACAATAGAAAGGAAAATTGGATTTTGCAAACCACGCCTGATGTATTTAAATGGCTGATGAGAAATAATAATCTGACTTTTGACCTTACAAAAGTATACATTCAAGAACACATAAATTTAGCAATGTGTTTTAAATGTTGCAATTTTGGGCACGTCTCGAAACATTGTAAGGCTGATGCATGTTGCTTCAAATGTGGTGGAAAGCATGAACCAAATCTTTGCTCCAGTGACACACCCCTAGATTGTCCAAACTGCAAACGATTAAATCTCACTGACAGGATGCATAGTGCCCGAGATCCCAAATGTCCAGCATTTCTTCAAAAAATCGAAAAACAGCGCGAATATGTTAATTTTAATGCCACCAATCAACAAGAAAATTTTGCCTAAATAAAACCTTCCACCAAAATGTAAAAATAAGTCACACCAAATCGGATCCAAATTTAAATAAAAGAAACCAAAATACTTTCGCTATAATGCATCAAAATGTGCAATCATTGGGCAACTGTGTGGATATGATAACAGCTTTGCTTGAAGAGCACTCTAACTGCAAATGTTTATGCATTTCTGAACACTGGAGAAAGGTAGATGAACTGAAGACAACCAGTATATCTGACTTCAGCTTAGCATCATACTTCTGTAGAAAAAATGGATATGGAGGAGTAGCAGTGTATTTACATAGGGACATAACATTCTCAAGAAAGCGGAAAATTGACAATCTTTCAGTTGAAGGTGTTTTTGAATGTGCTTGCGTGGAATTCAATCTAGAAAACGAACTCTTTGTTGTGGCTGTGATCTATAGATCCCCCAAAAGTGACATTAAATTATTCCTAAAAAAACTGGAGCTTGTTTTGGTAAAAATAATTAATGAAAATACAAAGGTATTTATTGCTGGTGACTTCAACATAGAATTTCTTAAACAAAACAATTCTAAATCACAAATTTTGTCGGTTATGAACTCTTTCGACTTATATCCGACAATATCAGAAAATACCAGAATTACACCATCATCACAAAGCTGTATAGACAATATTTTTACAAACGTCACAGAGGAAAATATGTCAAGTTGTGTAATTGACACCACAATTTCAGATCATGCTGCCCAGAAGATTGTGTTAAGTTGTAATCATGTCCCCAAAACAATCAGCTATTATAAAAGATTTTTTAGTGAAGTGAGTAGGCAAGAATTTTTCACTTTATTAACTCAAGAAAAATGGGAGGAAGTTTTTGAAGCACATCATAACGATGTTAATCAGCAATGGTATGTTTTCATGCAAACTTTTCTATCTATCTTTAACGAGAACTTTCCAAAAAAATTAGTCAGTATGGGTCAAGGGCAGAAAAAAAAGCCATTGTATCATAAAAACGAACAAATACAAAACGTTAAAAATAGATTAGATATTCTTTTAATGCTAAAACGCAAAAATAACAACTTTAATGAATCTTACTCCATTGTAAAAAAGGAATATGATCAATTACTAATAAAAGCTAGATCTGATAGTTATAAAAAAAGAATAAATAATTCGGAGAACAAAAATAAATGTATGTGGTCCATCTTTAAAGAAGTAACTGGAAACAACTCACAGGTGAATGACACAATGATCACTGGAAATCCTACAGAAATTGCAAACAATTACAATACTTTTTTACTCAATGCAATTCCAGAGTTACAGAAGAAAATTCAGCATGTAAATTACAAAATCAATATTCAAGAAAATGATAGATCTCTATTTTTAAAACCTGTTAATCCCAAAGAAATTTTAGAACTAACAAAAAGAATAAAAAACAAACATAGCTCTGGCGACGATGAAGTACCTACAAGTCTCATCCGTCGGATTATTCCAGCGATCATTGACGTCTTGTGTTACATAGTAAATAATTCACTTAGAGAGGGCATCTTTCCTGAGAGTCTAAAACTAGCAGCAATCAGGCCTCTGTATAAGCAAAAGGGAGATAAAAACTCGTTTGACAACTATAGACCTATAAGTCTGCTTTCTGGATTCTCCAAGCTGTTTGAAATTGTCGTGTGCACAAGAATAATGGATTTTATGAATGACTGTAATGTATTTTCTGATAATCAACATGGCTACTTGACGAAAAAATCCACACAAACTGCCATTTTTCAATTTACGCACGCAATTCTAAAGCACCTTGAAGATGGGGACATGGCCCTTGGAATATTCCTAGATTTGTCAAAAGCGTTCGACTGCTTGGACAGAAACTTACTTCTCCAGAAATTAAATCTATATGGGATAAGGGGACCTGCTTTTAAGTGGATTGAATCTTATCTGAACAAGAGAACTCAGAGAGTCACGATATACAGAAATGGGAACATATACAAGTCGGAAATCGCACAGAATACAGTGGGTGTCCCTCAGGGAAGTATACTTGCACCATATCTGTTTATTATTTATTTGAATGACATAAACTCTTATGAAATGAATAGAAATTATTTTAATTTGACCCAATATGCTGATGACACAAATTTACTAGTTGGAGCACCATCTATTCCAGAGATCCGTCAAAATGCAAATCACTTTTTTGTTTTAGTAAATGATTGGTTTGAAAAAAATAAATTATTACTAAATAAAGATAAAACTAATACTATACTATTCAGAACAAAATTAAATAAAACTAAAAAACCCGAATCAATTACGATGGGTGAAATTGATCTTGAAATTAAAAATAGCACTAAATTTCTAGGTATTTATGTAGATGAATTTTTAGACTGGTCTAGCCATGTCGAATATTTGAAAGGTAAACTGAACAAAGTTTGTTACTGTATTCGTATTGTGGCAAGGTATTTGGATGAACCTGCAAAAAGAACTCTGTATTTTGCAAACTATGAGGGTACAGCTAGGTACGGCATAATCTACTGGGCAGCAAACTCCGGGGTGCAGGACATTTTTACTGTTCAAAAAAGGGTGATTCGAACTATCTACAAAATGCCTCCTCTACAATCCTGTCGAGGTGTTTTCAGATCTAAAAATTTGTTAACTATTTTCGCCTTGTATATATTTGAAACTATTTTGTTTGCATTTAAAAATAAAGATATCTTCAATGCTCTAGGTCATAATACACGCACTAACAATATCAATTTCCCTGTGCATAGGCTGACATTGTCAGAGAAGCATCCATACTATATGGGAATAAGACTTTTCAACAAGTTAGATGAAAGTACAAAAAGTATAACTACAGAAAGGATCTTTAAAAGAAAACTAAAAGCCCTCTTAATCAACTTGGAACCATATAGTATGGATGACTACTTACGTAGATAGTATTAAGTAGTGAATAGGTTAAAGATGTCTAGTTGTTGATAGGACATTGGTTTCAGATAATTTAGTAATCTTATGTTAAGAAGTTACCACTTGGTACTTTAGTAGTAGTAAGTGGTAAATAAATAATTAATGACGATATTTCACTTCATATTTTGTATATTTTTTTATATATAATGTAATGTGAAATAAATAAAATAAATAAAAAAAAAAAAAAAATAGTTTAGTTATGTTAAATTTAATGTATTATATTGAAATTTAGTTGTAAAATGGGCTACCCGTTGATAAATAAAATAAAATAAAATAAATACTGAGATAAATATCTATGTTAAAGCGCGCCCATCCTAAATGATAATTGTTATTTTGTTGTTATAGATAAGCTGATTCCTAGGATAAGAATATTTTTTGTTAATTCTTCTTGGAATCAATAAAGCTGATTTACTTTTAAAAAAATAATAATATGTAATTACTAATGAGAAATTCATCATCTTTGAATTTTTGGGACTCTGACGTCATATTTCTCGTTTGCGTTTTAAATTTTGATATTCAACCATTTTATATTCAAAAATAGGCATTTTTTTTTGCAAAAAAGTATACAGATGTTATTAGAATGACTGATACAATAATTTAAATGTGTTTTTGAAAAATGTGAAAGGTGACTGTTAAACTAGAAAAGAGCCAACCTATCGATATGCCCTAGATCCTACTGCATATCAATACAAATCTGTTGTCATATCGATTAGGAACTTGCAATGAATTGTCTTCATAAGAACTATTTTAAAATATGACCCCAATTATTGAAACAAATAATAAATAATGAAAAGAACCAGAATTACGAGCGGTTCTTCACTGGACCTTGACATGCAAGAACGGGCTTCTATTTCTGAATCCAAACAAATCTAAATTATAAAAATATCAATATTTTTTCATATTACCAATATACGTAGAAAATATACGAATACCGATAAAATTAAACCATCAAGTCCTCTTGAAATTCTTGAAAAAAAATTATTTCCCCAACCAACCAACCAACACAAACCCAAGCCTCGAACCGAGGAGCCCGGGTCGCTTCACACCAAAGCCGCCAATCGATTTCGCCATGTTGAAATTGAAATAGCCTCGCAGCGAGGCGTCACGCGACCCAACTTATTATGGCGGGACTCTACTTTTCGGCCTCAGCCACAAGAAATGTTGTTTACAAAACGGAAATTGTGTAATAATTTCGACTTTTTTGACATAAATCGGGAAATTGAGGCTATTTATAGGGTTTTTGGAAAGGTAGATGCTTGAAGGAAGCCATTACCCGGTGTGTTTTAAGGAAAAAAGCATCACATCACATCACATGGCAACAAGCATTTTTTGATTTTTGGGTCAATTTTTAATGAGAAATAGTTGCAAATAGAGTTATTTTTATATAAACGGTTTCAAATTTTACAAAATTTAATAGTTTGCTTACCTCAGCCGCTCTTTTCGTGCCTTTTAATTCACATTTAGCGTCGGCCGTCGCACTCTTGTCGTTTTCCAACTTTTCCACGGCAACTTCCTTGTTTTCTTTCGTACTCATTTTGTTTTTATTTGTTTTTTAAATTAAACGGGATATTTTTTTGCCCTATTTACGACGATGCGAACTCTATAATAGAGAAGGAGGACGAAAATTACAAAACGGCGGCCGGCTCGGAACTGAAGCTAAATTTGCTCGCGTTCAAAAATTCATGATGGCGCCTTTTACCCGAACACCTCCGATTAAAATACGATTTTCCAAAATACAACAAAAATAAATAAGATTTCTACGCCTAAAAATCCCTTAATTAAAAATAAGATTTTTAAAATATTCCCCATCCAAATCCGCTTATTAGTTATTGAAATATTAATTATTTTAGTTACCCGAGTGGGGGTGTTCCAGATTAAAAATCAAGCTCGGGTTTCTTCTTTGGAGCCTACTCCGTTTAGTTTGTGACGCTCCCGATAGGTGGCTCTAATTCGAAAATTTTGGCGCCTCGTAAAATCGATTTTAATTTTGTTGTGGTGTGCGTAAAACCACACTTTCTTGAACCGTAAATTGTAAATTATCGTTACGTAATTGTTAATGGCCGCTGCGTGGGAATTGGTTTATGAGTTCGGGCACGTTGAAATTTTAAAAGTGGAACACGCATGCGAAAGGTGACTGTTTGCGCACTAGTGTAGTGTGTGTAATGTCTTTTCGAGTGCTAATAATAATTAAGCTAGCTTAATTATCAAGAGCTTTTAAAATTAATTATCTACCATTTTGACCCAATTATTTTTAAAAATTCATTCATAACAATTATTGTTCATACCTATTCGTTTATTAAACAGTAAAAAATATATTTTTAGTTTTGTTGAATTTTTGAGTGATGAAATCGTTTTTAAAATCGATTAACTATCGATAATTCTACATTCGAGTAATTTTTTAAAATCGACTAGAATCTATCAAGGCATTTATTATCGAATTAAAAAAGAGCGTCCCTCAAAATAAGTGAATTATAAAGCGTAGAAATCTATAGATCGTGAGCGTGCCCTCATCACCTTTCCAAGTTCCCATGAAGCCGCCATAAATAACCACCTCCTCCGCCCTACCTTTTTGAATCGATTTTCTTCAAATTTTACCGCCCTGAGAACAAACAGTCTATTTCAATGCGACGTTGCCAAATCAATTAACAAATAACAAGCGTTGAACTTAAAGCAAGATTCTAAAGAACTAACTCGCAAAGTCGTTTTTTATTATTGAATTTAATTACAATTCTTTGTTCTCGGTTCAGCTAAAATTGGTTCCGGATCGATTCTGAACTGGCTTTACCTGTTCCATGGATGTTTTTTTGTTCGTCGTTTAACTGGAATCGGTTCCGGAGGAACGATTCGGACCAATTCCATCGGTTCTTGAAATTCAACAAGAACCATTAGCTCGAGACGTGTTTAGATTCGCAATTATTATTCTTTTCCTGATTCAAAATCGTTCAGATTGATTCGCATGTTCAAGGATTACTGATTTCCGAATTCTAATAAGTTCCAGTTTCGGATCGATCTTGAACTGGTTCTGGCTGTGTTCTTTTTTTAACTGGCAGTACTGAATTTCTACTGTGCTGTTTTTACTGTATTTCTCGTTTCTTTTTCAACCAGCAGCTGTATTACTGGTTGATTTTGGAATGAATTCCAGTAATTATTGACATTTGACCGGCGACATCATAGCGGACCTAACCTAACAACATGATGATTTTATATTTTTTGTTTTTCTTTTTCAAGCTTTCTCCATAATAGCTATTTATGTACCAAGGGGATTATGTAGATTATAATGCCCGAAGGCGAAACTAGCCCAAGGGGGCTATGGCCCGAGGGATATATTTCGCCTGAAGGGCATTATAATCTTGAAATCCCCGTGGTGCATACAATGCTTTATTTTCTACTCAACACAATGTTTTTTCATCAATTTGTTATTAACAAAATCAGTTAAACTTGTGTGACAGAATATTGTTTTGCATTTTGACATGTACCTGTACCTGTGACCTGTACCTGTACCTGCGACCTGTACATAGAAACGAAATACATTAATATATCTATAAACATCTCATAAGGCAAGGCAACGGTGGTGGTCCTGTGGGTTAACGCGGTGGACTACATGGGAAACATTGATGGTAGACCGGGTTCGAATCCTGGCTAGACCGAAAATTATTATCGGTCAGACATTTAGTGGCTGCCTAGGGTAAAGTGCAAATTAATAGAACAACAACAACAAAAACACCTTAAGGTATTATAAGCGGGCGTTATAGATCATAACGCCCGCAAAAGCGGGCGTTATGGATCAGGTTGTTATAGGTGTGTTAACGTATTTCGTTTCCTAGGTATTATGGATCTATAATAGTAAAGTAGAAAATAAATAATTTTATATCCTACTGAACTATTAAAACCATATAATATCTTGGTTACGATAATCATAAACAGGGTCTTAACTCCCAAGGGAGTTAAGGATTTCCATAACTCCCGCTTTTACCTTGAATAGGTAACACTTTGACAAAAAATAGAAAATTTGATTTATGGCTTATTCCTTTATAAAAATAGACAGAATACAGTAAATTCAGTAGGATATAAAATTATCTATGTACCACGGGAATTATCAGGAGTTAATACCCACGGGCAATTGGTGTCCCTCGGGCCGGAGGCCCTCGGGACACAAACGTTGCCCTGGGGTATTAACACCTGCATAATTCCCTTGATACATAAATAACTATAATAGTTGGTTATTATTACTGTAAATTATTATAGTAATACAATGCTTTTATTAACGTAGTTGCCCTGGCCTCTGAAGGTCACTGGAATAAATAACCAAAGATACCTTTTGTTTTGTTATTACAAACAAACCTTCCAAGTTTAAAGAAAATCTGGAAAGGGATTTTTCAGCTAATAAACCTCAGTGAAAAACTTTTTTTTTTCAAACTTTTAACAGCCCTTATCTCAAAAACTAAGCATATGCGTACCCATAGCCGCTTTCGGGTGCAGGGGTGCTTTATTTAAAAGATGCATCTTTGCGTACACGCCAATGACGTCATTCGTGATTGATAATTGGTGCACAGCTTATTTGACATGCACTTTTTCAATCGCAACTGACGTCATTCGCGTCATATTTGCGCGTTCGCAAAGTTGCATCAATTTCAAATAAAGCCCCCCAGAGTGTTTAGATAACCATAGTGCGAAGCGAAGCTCTGAACACTCCCGTTACTCCATGTGTTTTGCGAACGCGTCAAACTGTAGTCGGAGTAGGTACTTCGGAGTAACTCGGGAGGGCTCAAAGGGTGGCACCCGAAACCAGCTGATGTTTCTAATTATTAAAGGGGGTGTGCGCCAAAAATTAAAGTTTTAGTGTAAAAAAATCTAAGAATAACTGTTCAAACCTCGTTATTCTACGATAAACCATCGCTGAGATATACCGCTTTAAAGTGTGGACGACGCTCTCGTGACGTCACGAAAACTTCGTCCAGCGGCGCTCTGCATTGTTAATTTGATTGTTCCCGGCACGCGTGAGTGGTTTTTGTTTAGATTATTGCAGGTAACACAGGAAAAACATTATGTAAATTTAATGAAATCCACTTTCTCGTGCGTCGCTTGAGCTTTCGTGACGTCATAGGGTGAGATGCGGTATCTTCATAGAGCCATATCTGCGGTATTATTTGTCATAGAGGGGTGCGGATTTCACTGTTATTCTTAGATTTTTTTTCTGGCGCACACCCCCTTTAATTAATTTTTAATTTATTTTAATGGGTACTCTTATTTCTCCTAGAAGTTTGATCCCATTATCCAGAAATACCCAGTATAGCTCAATCAATTTAAATTAAGTTACCTACTCAATGTAGCTTAACAAGCAATATATGGAATAAATCACAAGATAAAACTGCTATAACTTAGGGGATATTTTAGTCTGGAGCTTTGAATGTGATTGTTGTAGAAATGAATAAAACTTATTAGCTGTGCAAATAGCCAAAAAAGTGATATTTGCCTTCTTAACTTTTATTTGCTATATCAAATAATAGAATTATTATTTAACTGTCTACTTTTATGGCTCTATTAATTTAAATTAAGTTTAAGTAAGTTGCCTACTCTACTAGCACTCTTTGACTCTACTATCAAATCAGTATGAATATGAAATAAAACACAAGATAAAGTGATAGCTATTTGTTTTGTTGTTATAATATCAATATTTAATAAAAGAAATAAACCAACTAATGTGAAATCGAATAACATTTAACTTAAATATTGAAAATAACAAATAACACCTAATAAATTATAATGTTTTTATCCTTGTGCAAAAAAATACAACATTCAATGTTAAAGTTATAATTGTTGCATAATTTCCTCTCCTCCAAACAAAACAATTGACACCCCACCACTTTTACTGGATTACAGTAGCTTCCCAGGCACAGCAAGCACAGTACTATTATTTGACGTATTGGTGACCTAGTACGTAATTTTTTAGTGTTCTTGAACGTATCAAAACAATCAACACCCTACCACTTTTGAATTACAGTAGCTTATTCCCGGATACAGCAAGCACAGTAATAAATTAGTGACGTATTGGTGACGCCATACGTCATTTTTTCAGTAAATCAGTACACTGCATTTTAATTTTGGAACGCTTCCCAGTAAATACAGTACTGACAGTTGAAAAAAGAACACAGCCTCTACTAGTTCTGGGCTGCGTTCAAAAACGGCTAAAGCCAAGCCAAAATTTGCATATTGCGTTCAAGTTCGGCTCCAGCGTGCCAAAAACGGTTGGCTTTACACGTTCAGAATCGGCCGAGGTAAAGTAACTTTTGGAGGTGCTTTTAACTGAGTCTAGAAATGGTTATACGAATTTTGATTGGATGAGACCAAATTCAATATGGCGTAGCGGCCAGCAAGTTAGTTTTGAATATGGGTTTGCATGCATATTTCAATTATTTTGCTTGTTTGCAGCTTTGATTTTGATTATTCAATAAAATATTTGTAGGTACATAAACTATTGAGTTGGGCAGAAACTAGATATTTTTTTGTGTCTTTGTGGACGCCACGTCACGCCATCTTGAATGTCACGTGGTTTGGATTGCCTAATTGAGAAACGGTATTTGGCGTTCCAGCAAATTCACACCAGATTTGGCATTACCGGTAGAAGGGGAAAAGTAGGTTTTGGCATTAGCATTGCCGTCTTTGAACGCACTCCTGGAGAATCAAAGTCACAAGTTCAAGACTTGCACAATTTTATACTCCATACTCACTAGTTGAGTTGAGGGCTGAAGAGCTCTAATTTTTTGCCTCCAGATATTTGATCACTTTCTGTTCGCGATTCAATAATATCGATTTTGAATCGATTTTGTAATTCAGAATTTAAAAAACATATACCTAGCGCTTTCGACTTTTACATTACAACTACGCCCGATAGATCAAATCTCGTACGGAGCGCTCTTTCTTAAAGTACATTCGGCTATTAATTTCGAATGGTGTGCCCTCGTTTGGATTAAGTATAATATAATAGCTCTTGGAGCACTCCCGCAGGGATCTGTGACGTCACTGCCACTCGGTTCATCTGGATTTGGTACCAAATCGATTCTGAACAGGTTCTACCACTAAAATTGGTTCCGGATTAATTCTGAATTAATTCTACCAGTTCTAGATTTAACTAATAAGTGTTTTCACAGAAATCACAAACCAGTCAGAGCGAATTTTATTGGTTGAAAATGATCGGAAAAGGGAACTGGTTGTTGGTGATTTGCACCAATCAAAAACGCTCTGACTGGTTTGTGATTTCTGTTAGAACAGAATTGACTTGGAGACGTGTGCAGTTCCGTGTTTTTGTTAAAACTTAAAATCGTTCGCAATAAAATTAAAGGTTCAAAATAGTCTTTTTAATTCGTTCTGATTGAAATATTCAAAAATCAGATTTCCATATTTCTCCAATCCAATTTTAGCTCTAGTAGATCGGAGAATGAGATTTTATGTTGTTCTAGTTAAAATTTCAGATCTAGTAGAGCTGGTAATAAGATTTTCAAGTCGCGGTTCAACTAGAATCGGTTCGGGGGTCTGGTTCGGGATCGATTCTGGAGTAGTTCTAGCAGTTCTAGGGATTTGTGGCTATACAAATATTGAGTGCAATTTCGAATTTTTTGCTTCGAATGGTTTGTGGTGAGAAGAACTAGTTCCGAACTATTCGCATGCGTAGCTCAAATTTTGTAGTTCGCGGATCACTGAATGCCGAATTTTCGTTACAGCTTCTTTCATTCGCGGTTCAACTGGAATCGGTTCTAGATCGATTTTAAACTGGATCTTAATACTAGGCTCAAGAAATACGCGATTGACCTTTTCAATTTAGAAGCCTCTCTCTCTGGCGTCAGACTGTCAGACGCCAAAAGAGTATGAAAACAATGATTGACAGCTATTGACAGTGGTTTGTTGACAAGACTTTTATAGATGTGAGAGTGGAAACTATTATTTCCTCGGTTTTTTCAAGGTTTTTTCCTAATAATGGTGATTGTGTGTAGCGTGCCTTTTCGTGAAAATAATTCCTATTCACCGGCGGATGTGTCTTTCCATAAGTTTTTATCAAATCCTACATTTGTCAAAATTTGGATACACAAAATCAGAACGGATACTCGCAAAAGAAAGGGAAATTCACGGCCCATCAAGTTTACAAAGAAATCCACGTGCAAGTTTAGTTTGCGGAAGGTGTTTGCTTCCCACAGTTTCTTTCTAATTTCAAATTTCACCATTATATGTCGGTCATTGTCATTTTCCATTCACTGAACAAAGATACCTAACTCATCGGTGGAGTCACCGATTAGAATAAAAACCAGGGGATTGCTAAACACCCTATACACTTGACATTGACGAGCAAGTAAATATTGGCGGGAATCTGAATGTTTTCATACTTTATCGTCCATCTCTTTTTCGTTCGCAGATCACTGGATTTCAAATTGTTGTACAGTTCCTTATTCGAGGTTCAATTGGAATCGGTTCGGGATAGATTCTGAACTGATTCTACCAGTTCTGAGGATTAAATAAGAACCTGTTCGAAATAGGTGCAGTTTCTAGATTTGAAATCCTTGGAAGTAAAATAAAAGGGTCAAAGATAGTCTTTCCAAGTCGTTCCGGCTGAATTGTAACTCCAGAACTGTCAGAAATCAAAGTTGCACACTTCTCCAATCCAATTTTGACAGAGCCGGGAAGGAGATTTCAAGCAATTCTAAATATATAATTTTTTTTTTTTTTTTAAAGATAAAAGTCAAAATAACATTATGTTGGTAATACAATGTAAAATTGTCAATGCTTTCAATTTTTTTCTGTAGTAAAGGCTTGTGTTGACAACATAGTTACTAAATTTTTGACTTGGGGAATTATCTTTAAAAAAAAAGCAGACTTTAGTTAAAATTTCAAATCTAGGAGTGCTGGTAATAAGATTTTCAAATTACTCCAATTGAATTTAATTTCTACTAGGCAATTACCTTTTTTAACCGCTTTGGCAAAATTTTAACATTAGATTGATCAGAAAATTACAGTTTCATGATGCTTCCAATTGTGTCTCTAGAGTAGCACCACAGGAATTACAGCTCTATGTTCGCGGTTCAACTGGAATCGGTTAGGGATCGATTCTGGAGTAGTTCTAGGGGTAGTTTGCTTTGAATATAAAACAACAGGAAGGAGCATAACCTGGAATCTGCGGGACCAGAATATGTGAAGGTTGCATATGGCCGACTAGTGTTTCCGGTTTGGCAGTGGCGTATATTTATTTAAATATGACTGTCAATATTATGACTCACTCTTTTCGCACTACTTCCAGTGCTTATTATCACTTAAAACCGCTAAAATCCACTTGAATTAGGACACAGCGAACCACCAAAACAAATGATGAGTCAAACTTGGAGGCTCCAATATGGCCGCTTCCGTCCCTTTTTTGTTTGTAGTGACAGATAGACAACGCTCCTTTCTGTAGTTTTTATATTCAAAGGTAGTTTGTGATACTCGCAATAATTCAGTGGAAATTCGAGTTTTCGTTTCCGTTCCGAATCGTTTGTGGTGGAAGTAAAATCTAGCTCTGAAATATTCGCATTTATAGCTCAAACCTTAGGCAATTTTTCGTGAGGATAATCAAGCAAACTCGAATTGCTGGCTGGGTTATCTGATGTGTCATAGTCCCCTATAACTTCCCTACCATCAAATTCTGGTATACTCGAGGATCAAGAACCCTTAATTTCTTCTGAAGAAACAGACCGAAAATCACCTTTTCTGCATTTAAAATCGACGAAAAAATCAACTCACTAGCACACTCTGAATCGCAAGCCTTTCATCGGGGTCTGCGGGTGACGTCATCATTATAAGCTGCTGATAGTGGCGTCACTCGTAGGCCCAGAATTGGATGGAGAGGGAAGAGGGAGTTAGGGGAGTATATGTCACAATTGACAAATCACAAATCCAGCATACTCGAGTATGCTTGATTATCCTCGCGAAAAATTGCCTTTTGTCGTACGCGGATAACTAAATTTCGAATTTTTGTTAGTGGTTTATATGCGGTTCAAATGGACTCGGTTTGGGATTGATTCTGGACTGGTTCTACCTGTTCTTCAACAATAACCATAAATTCAAAAAATGCTCAACTTTAGACAGTTAACTTCAAGTTGACTGTCAAAGCAGTTTTATAAATACCCGCCCTTAGGGCGGGTATTATGCCTAGTACTCATAACCAATGAACTAGAGCTAAAAACTGGAATGAGCACACAGTGCCATATCTGCCAAAAAAATGAAGCCATGAAAGACAGATGCCACAACGGGGAATGTTGTCTTTTTCTGTTGCTCGCTGACATATGACGTTTTCGAAAGTTTTGTCATATTTTCCTTCACAGGTTTCATCAATTGGAATACGTGTGTTGGAAGCAATTTTCGCCATTTAACATAATGAGTGCGACAAAAACAGGTATCCCCTCCGCAGCAGCCGCACTAGGCTTCACGCGGTTCGTCCTTATGTGTTAGCATTCCAGTTTTTGGTTATAGTTCATTGCTCATAACTGCGAAATTCGCATTTTTTTGACATTGCGTTGACAATTTGACGTTTAATTCGGGTATCAAACGTCAAATTGTCGAAGCAATGTCAAAAAAATGCGAATTTCGCAGTTATATGAGTACTAGGCTTTACTCAGTACTCAGTTCGATTTGCTTTTGCAAACTTATGTAAACACCGCATCTGAGATTGGTCTTTTCACTACGTTCACTCGGTCTTCGTACGTACTTTGGCTGTTCGGTGATTGCTTTTTGGGTAAATAGTGTGAACTGTGACTGTGTGACTCTTTTTGTGTTCGATTATAATATGGAGTAAAGTAAAGTATAAAAACTCTAAGGGCCGATACTTTTGCTCTCGATTAACGCATTTGATACGTTGTCAAAGTTTGGCATAGGCCAAGGTCTATAAGTATGATGTGGTTAGAGCTTATTCTAAGCCCTGATTATTTTTAACGGCTGTCAAATGAGAGCAAAAGTACCGGCACTAAATGTTCTAATTGCTTGCTTACTTCGTGCATTCTAAGCACTCCATCCCGAATGGTTATTTACCGTAGAGTCACTTACTTGTTCACGTTCATACAGTCTCGGAATTCAAAGTCGTTCTTAATACTCTTTTTACGGGACATGTACGAGATAAAAAGCTGCTCCGACTTCAGTCCGTGTTGATTAGCCAAACCAAGTTCTTATTCACTCCAAAATCACTTGACAATTGATTGTTCTCACTCCACTCTCTCTGGGTGAGTTCGGCTTGCTCATTCCGTGCACTCGGAGTGACTCCATTCGCACTCCAGCCGTTCAGGTTAAGGTTCGGGTATTGCTTTTTACGGTATCAGGGGTGACTCCATTAGCTCTGTTCACTCCACTCCAACTCCGCGCTGAATAGCCGAACTCACCGTCTGAACATATTTAAAAAAAAAAGATTTTGCAACATTGTTTTAGCAACTCTAACCTAAAAAATTTTGTATTTTTAAATTTTTCTTCATATAATTTCATTCATTCAAAATTTGTAAATGTTGAGAAGAACCTCCTCATTAAGAATTTACTTGAATTATTCGAGAATGTCCTCTTCAAGTTGTATCGTGTCAGTTTGCCAATTTACAGCAACCAACGATAAAACGAAAAATACCAAAGTTATCCAGAATCTCGTACAGGAATCTGTTAAAAAACAGGCAAAGGTACAGATTTCTGAAACTCTTTTTTCCCATGAACTAAAGTAACGTCTTTACGTTCCAGATGGTTTTTTTTCCAGAAGCCTGCGACTTTATATCGAGAGATAAAACTGAATTTAAAAACTTATCGGAGCCAATTACGGGGCCTCTTATGACTTCGTACCAAGATTTGGCTAAAACAAGTCAGGTTTGGCTTTCCATAGGCGGATTTCATGAGAAATATGATCAAGTAAGTGACATTGTGTCATAAAATACATTATGTCAGTTTTGTGTAAAATTTACACAGACCCTACTAGTTACGCTTGTTACATTTGTGTCATAACAACTAATTTACATTTTGTACACTATAGTCACACAACTCATTCCTCATTTCAACATAAAATGTACAGTTGCAGCCATTGGAATTGGCACAAATTTTTGAGCGCGCTTCGTATTGTAACCAAAACTGACACAATTTTGGCATTCACGGCTTGTAAAAATGTCAAATTTTGATGCAATACAAGGTGCGTTCAAAAATTTGTGCGAATTCCAATGGCCGCCACTGTACCTACTTATTACTAGTTACATTTGCTGTCATGGAGTAACAAATACACTATGTCATAAACTACATTTTGCCTTTGTAAAAAGTACACTCACATGTAAGTAATTTACACCGAATTTTTCAGGACACAATCTACAATTCCCACGTCATAATAAACGACAAAGGCAACATCGAAGCTGTCTATAGAAAAATCCACTTATTCGACGTTTCTATTCCAGAACAAAACATCAATTTGAAAGAATCTGAATTGAACACTGCAGGATCGCAAATACTGGCTCCTGTACAAACCCCTATTGGCCTTCTGGGTCTGTCAATTGTATCCTTTTGACAAAATGCAAACCAATAACTGACATAAATGTAACCTCTTAACTTCCATCTTAGTGCTACGATTTACGATTTCCCGAACAAAGTACAATTTTGAGGAAATTAGGTGCAGACGTACTGACATATCCGTCAGCATTCACTAGTGCAACAGGCAAAGTACATTGGGAGACTCTATTGAAAGCTCGGGCAATTGAAAATCAATGTTTTGTCATTGCAGCAGCTCAGTATGGTCAGCATAATGAAAAGCGAATTTCATATGGACATTCTATGGTAACAATATTATCGTATTGGACTTAGTTACATTTGCGTCATATTTGTAGATTGTAGATCCGTGGGGTCAAATCCTAGCCGAATGTCCAAAATACTCTACCGAAAAACCTTCAGATGAAAGTTTTGCAGTAGCTACTATCGATTTCGATCAGCTGAAACGAATCCGGATGGAAATGCCCATCATGTCGCATCGTAGAAATGACATTTACAGCCTCAATTTGATCGATAGCAAGCGGGAAATCGATAATGAAAAAAACTATCGATTTGCTGATAAATCAATACCTGGCAACACTGTATTCTATGTATCCAAGTATTGCTTTGCTTTTACCAACATTAGATGCGTCGTACCTGGGCGTAAGTAGTTACATTTGCGTTATATAAATTACATTAATTGTCATAATCTATTTTAGACGTCCTGATCTCCACCTTGAGACCAGCCAACAGGTTGCAAGATTTATCTGAAGAAGAAACGGCCGATCTTTTTCAAACTACTGTCAAAGTGTCCCGAGTAATGGAGTCCGTACAAGGAGCAGAATCGTCAACGGTGTGCGTGCAAGACGGTAAATTTGCAGGACAAACTGTGCCGCACGTGCACGTACACGTTTTGCCTAGGATACAAGGCGATTTTGCCAACAATGATGATGTTTATATGCATCTGGCTAGTCATGATAAAAAGGAGAATGGTAATCCGATTAGGAGTAGAGAGGAACAGAGTGAGGAGGCTGCTCTGTTACGGAAGTATTTTTATTAAAAAAATATAATTGTTTGGATTAGCTGGACCTGTTTTATCTCGTGTTATTTGACCCAAATTACTCTAGAGTAGCTGGAAATGGTCTAATTCAGGCATAGTAGGTAACTTAAGAGCAGGGGGCGGATTACGAACTCTCGATTCGAACCGAAACCGCCATGGATTTCGAACGCATTCTGATGCATTTACATGGAGTGTGTTCGAAATCGATGGCGGTTTCGGTTCGAATCGAGAGTTCGTAATCCGCCCCCAGGTTGCAGCACTCTACAGTAATAAGGTTTGTTTGTTTGTGTCGTTCGGGGCAGCACTTCCTGGTTTGGGGCATTCGTTTGTGAGCGTTTTATAATGAATGTATCTGAATCTTTCAATAATCTGAAATATTACAGCTTAGTTCAAGTTAGTGCGACACAAACAAACAAACCTATTGAGTAGAAATTCATGGCGCAGTTTGATAGTGAGAAGATTTATTTCATATTAGGTGTTTCAGTCGCTATGCTTTCACATCTGTGGGTGACTCGGACTTTTAAGCGACGTGGTTTTCTTAGTAGGTGCTTCGTCCTTTATTAAAATTCGGAATTTAGCGATCCCCGAACGATAAAATTTGAGCTACGCATATGAATAGCTCGGAACTAGTTCTGAATTCTTGGCCAGAACTATCATAATCTGAACCAGTTTGGAACTAATCGGGTTTGTCGTCGAGTGTATGTACTAAAACTGATAGAACTACTCCAGCTCAGAACTATTCCAGATCCAATTTTAGTTGAAGTACTATCCAATTTTAGATCTACTGCTACCAACTCAGAGTGCTCGGAGTGAGCGACCAGTTGCGAAATTTGCATAAAGTCTGTTTTTTTTTAAAGATAGAGAGAGAGAGAGAGAACATACTTTATTGACCAAGAAGTACATATAAATGGAAATCTTATTGTCCAAGCTTAGGTTGTAAACATATTCTTAGTACCTAACTAAAACCTACTTAGAACTAATTAAACTAGTAATAAGTATCTGAAAGAGAGAACAATGTACGACTAAGACCAATGAAATGGGACACATTTAAATAATAAAATATAAAAAGCACAGAGCAAGGAACATTTAAAAATCTTAAAATGAATACATTTATAATTTAAAAAGGAGTAGGCAGTAAAAACAAAAAATCAGGTACAATTAACAAAAGTATGTGGCTTGACACCTATATATTCCAGTTAGAAACAGATTAAAATTAGCCACACAAGAAAAACCGTCACACTCGACACAACAAATAAGTTTTACTAAAAATTATGCATAAAAAATTCATCATACGAATAGAAAGCCAAATCAACAAGAAGAGTTTTACAACTATGTCGAAATTTTTTGAGGTCACTGATTTCTCGAATCTCCAGTGGTATGCGGTTATACATTTTCAGACCATTGTAAATGATAGAGTTCTTGACTAATTCCAAGTTGGGGATGGGTAGGCAAAGATCGTGTGAATTTCGAGTCTGATAAACTCTGCTGTTTGAAAAATGAGAAAGATGTTTATGAATGAGACACACTGTTTCTAAGATAAGGATGCAAGGCAAGGTAAGGATTTTATTTTCAATAAAAAGTGGTTTACAGTGTGCCCGTGAATGGGATTGACACATGAATCTAATGGCTCTTTTTTGTAGGATGAAGGTGGAATTAAATAAATACTGACTACAAAAACCCCAAAACGCAATGCAGTACCTTAGGTGTGATTCAACCAAAGCAAAGTAGGTGGTTCTCGCTACAGATTTACCAAGTTCCCGAGCAGTGACCCTAACACAGTAACAACCTGAGGATATTTTTTTATTTAATGATTTTATGTGGGCGTCAAATTTAAGCCTATAATCTATATTCAACCCTAGAAACTTGGATGAGTCTACGATGTCAAGAATATGGTCTTCAATAGATATGTTATTAAGAGTACAGTTTCTGAAAGTCATCATATGTGTTTTTGAAAGGTTGAGGGATAGGTGATTAGCATCACACCAGGTCTTGATCTTCTTTATATCAGTTGCTATCATGTTATGAAGGATAATTGGATCCTTATGCGACCAACAAGCAGTACAATCATCGGCAAAAGCCCCAATATCACCCGAGAGGTCAAGGCTCAAGAGGTCATTTATATAAATGAGGAAGAGAATGGGTCCCAGGACAGAGCCTTGAGGTACACCATTTTGGATGAGTTTTTCTTCTGAAGTAGTGCCATTTGAAGAGACCCACTGCGTGCGTCCCGTTAAGTATGACCGCATCCACCCGAGCTCGCTCCCCTGAAATCCGTATATGTTAAGCTTCCGCAGCAGCAATCCGTGATTAACGCAGTCAAAGGCTTTTGACAAATCACAGAAAACTGCCGCAGATGACCTTTGTTCATTCAACGAACCCAAGAGGCCCTCCATAAAATACAAGACAGCATCAGCTGTGCTTTTTTGATGTTGAAAACCAAATTGACTTTTATTTAAGAGGTTGTTTTCATTGAAAAAGTCTACTATACGTTTGCTGACCAGAGTTTCTATGACTTTTGAGAGAGTGGAGAGCAGGGAAATTGGTCTATAGTTCGAGAGAGATGTTGTATCCCCCCCTTATGTATGGGTTTGACAGTGGCAGGCTTCAAACATGCAGGAAAATGTCCACTTCTAAAAGATGAATTTATGGCATCAGCCAGAGCAGCAATGGAGCTGAGGGAGAGTTCCCTTAGGATTTTAAGGGAGATACCATCATATCCAGTTGCATTTAGATTCTTCATTGTGTTAAGGGTCTGCCTTATTTCATCTCGATTAGTTGGAAGAAAAGAGAATACATTTGGAACTCTTACAACTCGTAGGTATTCAAGTGGATCTTTATTACTTTGTAGATTTTTAGTAAGATTTTCAGCTATTGAGCAATAGAAATTGTTAAGATCGTTTGGGTCCAAAGGAATGTCTCGAGAGATGGTTTCTGTGCGTCCTGTTATTTCATTAACAATATTCCATGCTGTTCGAGACACATTCGTGGATGTTTGAAGTCTTAAAGAGTAAAAATTCTGCTTTGCCTTTTCTATAAGTTTTCTGTATATTTTGCGATATCGATAGTAGTGGTTTTTTATGAAGTGGTTATCAGAAAAGTGTTTGCGCAAGGAGTTAAGGCAACGTAGATTTGCAGCAGAAGTTCTAATTCCTTTAGTTAACCAAGACTTTGAGTTAGTTCTTATTTTTACGTTTCTGAGAGGAAAACATTTGTTTATTAAAGTGCAAACAACTGAATGAAAAGCTGTTAGAGGATCATTTTCATATTCTAGGAAGTTCCAATTTTCATTTTGCCTGTCACATTCTAGATGAAACATTTGGTAGTTATGACGACTAAAAATGCGTTTTCGAACCCTGTGTTTAGCCTTCTTTGAAGTAAAAAATAGAGGAAGTTTCGCTACAATAGCATTATGGTCAGAAATGGCTGCATCAAGGGACTCACACGCTACGTCACCCTGTATATTTGAGCAAAAATAGTCAATTGTAGTGGCAGAATATTCAGTTATTCGAGTAAATGAGTGAACGTGCATGGTGAGGTTAAGAGGTTAGAGACAGAAGCAGCTACATTAGAGTCAGCATCACTGTAATCAACATTTATATCACCAGCCAGTACTACATGGCACTTGGATGGAAGTTTAACAAGCAGTTGTTCTAGTTTATTTAGGAAACCGAATATATCTGAATTAGGTGATCTGTAAATGCATACCACACACAGGTTTAGTTTTTTCGAGAAAATTACTGAGAATTCGAATTGTTTTTCTTGCAAAAGTTGATCAAGATGATTACATGATTTAAAGTCCAATATATCATAAGCATTTTGGTTGATTAGGACGGCAGTACCTCCATGTTGGCTTATGGTTCGACAATACTTTGAAACAGCAATATACCCTGGTACAACCAGCGGCTCGTCTACATTAAGCCAATGCTCAGTGAGTAGTAAAATATTAGGAAAATTTATACTGTCCAAGAAAACCATTAGTTGATCAATCTTATTACGCACTGACTGAATGTTTAACAACAACATACTTATGCAATTGTCAGAACTTATTCTAAAAAAGTCAAATCAGACGTGTCACTTAAATTATTAAAATCATTATAATTCCCTAAGGGTGGGTATTATAAAACTGCTTTGTCAGTTAACTTGAAGTTAACTTTTTGAAATACATGTAATTCCAGAAGTTAGCTTCAAGTTAACTCTCAAAGTAGTTTTATAATACCCGCCCTAAGTCAAAAATTTAGTAACTATCGGTGAGTTCGGCTATTCAGCGCGGAGTTGGAGTGGAGTGAACAGAGCTAATGGAGTCACCCCTGATACCGTAAAAAGCAATACCCGAACCTTAACCTGAACGGCTGGACTGCGAATGGAGTCACTCCGAGTGCACGGAGTGAGCAAGCCGAACTCACCCTATGTTGGCAACACAAGCCTTTTCTACATAAAAAATTTGAAAGCATTGACAATTTTACATTGTATTGCCAACAGAATGTCATTTTGACTTTTATCTTTAAATAAAAAACAGATTTTAGATTTCTATCTACTCTACTCGAACGCAAGCAGATTCATATTAGTTACACCCAAACCCGGACAGTCGGAGTAAATGCGTACCAAGACTAGGAGTGCATATTGTGTGAAGAACGCTCCCAAAAACGGACCGTTAAGCACTCTGAGAGCAGTAAGCCCAACAAGCAAAACTAATTCGGATTTTTTTTGCATCTTCAAAAGCAGTTCATAAACGATCCGGAATCAATTCTAGCTAAATCGGGAAGTTCCAAGAACCGATGGAACTGGTTCAATTCGATCTTTCGGAACCGATTCCAGTTAAACCGCGAACAAAGAACCGTCCAAAATTCGGAATTCAGTGATCCGCGAGCGACATAATCAATTTTGTCTACGAATTTTGCAAACGAAAACTCGAAATTTTCTAATAAAGTAGAGCATTTGTAGAATTTATGGTTATTGTTAAATCCTCAGGACCCGTTGAGGACCGACCGGAACCAATTCTAGCTGAATTGGGAAATCCAAGAGCCGATGGAACTGGTTCAATTTGATCTTCCGGAACCGATTCCAGTTAAACCTCGAACAAAGAACCATCCTAAACTCAAAATTCGGTGATCCGCAACCGACATTATAGTTTTGTGAAAAGCCAGGCCCGAACAGTCGGAAAAAAGTACTCAGACTGCACGGAGTGAGCGTGCAGTTGGGACATTTGGAGTGATTTCTATTTCACTTCTCGAACGCAGAGTCACTAGCTACGCTAAAAACTAGTACCCGAACAGCCAGAGCCGAGACTCGAAGTGTATGTTGTGAGAAAACAGGCCTCAAAAAATTATGTTAGTAAAATGCAAAAGCAAGTCGAACTGAGGCACTCCAGATTTTTATGTTCGGAGTGATTCGGTGTAACGCAAAAAAATATTGCCTTTTTAAATTTTAAATGCAGGTACTTTATTGTCATTCGCATATAGGGACACAAGCCCCAATCTGCAACCAAATTCAAAGAGAAACTTGAAAATCTAGGTCTTGAACATATGGTTCCTGTTAAATTCCGAACGATAGAATCAGAGTTCAGAATCGATTCGGAGTCACTTCTAGATGAACCGTGAAGAAAGAACTGTCCAAAATTTGGAATTTTCCTTGAATATTCGTATTGTGACATAATTTGAAATTTGCTTGCGAATAGTTCCGAATCATTTCTGAATTACTAGATATTTTACCGCCGATTTTGGTACAGGAGAAATTTTTCAAGCCTCGAATTTATGGCTTTTGTTGAATTCTCAGAACCAGCTCAGAATCGATCCGGAATCAATTATAGCTGAACCAGGAACCAATGGAACTGGTTAAAATTGACCTTCTGGATTCCTGAGGTAGCTTAAGAGTAGGTTAGAGTAGTCTGGAGTAAATTTAAAAAAATTGATTTTAAATTAAATTTATTAATCTTCTAAAATATCATCAAGCCATTGTTCCAAATCATTATTTTCTGGTTTGTCAACGCTTACTTGATCTAAAAACAATTATAATTCAAAAATCTGAAACAAAAGTGAGCCAATCAAAATGCTTGAAACAATCAATTCTTAATTTTGATTGGCTCCTGTGACGTTTTACCTGGTTTTTGATTGGTTTCTTCTAATGAACAACTATCAATTAACTCTGAAACATCATCATCTTGGTCTTTTTTATTGCAAATATCACTTGTTTCTATACTGGTGCTAGTGCTGGAACAATCCTCTTCCGAGACAATTTCTTCATTTTCCAAATTGCTATTTTTGGTTAATAGTTCATTAAAAACTTCCAAATTTTTGCGGGCTTTTTGATTCATTTCTGTTATTTCTGGTTCCTGAAAAGCCAAGTCAAATAATGTGATTTTTCCATCAAATTTAGTTACCTCAAACCATTCTTTTCCTATCCCTATTCGATCATAAAACGCCACCCCCGATACGCTTTTGTCCAACAAATCCAAATTCAAACTAAAACTCGTCTCCACATTGTTGCCAATTTGTTCGTTTTTGAACTGAAAATGACTTCCTAATGAAGCAGGTAAACTTGATAAAACAGCAAAGTCTGTACTGCTGCTTAATTGGTGCTCCTCCGGATCCTGATTGTCGTACCGATCCCAATTGGAGCCCAAAATGGGTTTCGGTTTTTGGGGTTGGGGCAGATATTTCGGGTTCTTTGTAGAGTTGGCTTTGTATTTTCGCTTGTCTTTGATGTGTTTGAGGCCCCTGAGTAGATTTAAGGATTTAGATGGTTCTGAAGATATTTATCATGATCCATTCTGAGAATAAATTGTTTACCAACCTGCTTTTGTCCTTTTCCATTTTAACTCACAATTTGCTCTACTTGTGATCAATGTGGTCTTTAATAATTAATAAAATGATTAAAATGATTAAATTGAAGATAAACAAAAATTCAAAAATACAAATTTTTGTTGTTTTGAGGTTATGTTGTTTGACAACCACGAACCACGTTAACAATGTTGCCAACTCTTCAATTTGAATTTCCGTGAACGGTTCAACACGAAGTTAAATTAGAGTAAGAACAGATATTTTGTCGTGTGGTTTGTGTTCAACTATTCAACACGGAGTTAGAGTGGAGTCGGGGTAGTTTTTTGTCCTGGTTCTTAGAGTAAAGAGAGCGTAAAAGGATACTCGAACGACCCTTTTAAGAGCAAAAAAGTCTAGAACAGCTATTGCCGCTTTAATTGAAGAAATTTGATGAAGATGATGGTTAAATAATCACTAGTTATCCTCAAGAACCGCAACAAACATTTTTCGGTTGCTCTACATACTCTAGAAATCTTCTTGGAACTATTAAAGTAAGCTCCATTTACTCGACACCAAACATGAACCAGTGCAGTGGTCACATCTTTTCACTCTAAGTTCCACTCTCTACACTCGAAAAACTGACTCCACTCCAAGGTTTTTTGAAATTTGCGATTCTAGAACCAAATAAAACGCAATCATCTGATCTGTCAACAATGTCACATCAAATGTCAGAATTTCAGTATCCAAAATTCAAAATAAAAAAGTTGCACACATTTTTTTTCAAAAAATTTTCAATTAATTCATTAATTTCACCTGATTGATAATGAGTACAGATTTTGGGGATTTTTCGCAGGGGCTTACCGGTAAAGGGGGCGACAAGGAGCTACAGGAGTTTCTAATGGTGGAAAAGCAAAAGGCACAATTTAATGCACAGGTGAGGTTATGTCATATAGCAAAATTAAGTAGATTTTTCACAATCTTTTTCATTTTTCTATCCACCTGTAAAATTTTCTCAACAATTTTCCTCAAAAACAAAATAAAAAAACGTCCCTCAATGTTGTTTTTTTGGGAATTTGAGTTTTTTTCAAAATGTCATCGACATATATTTTGCTTGATGCAGCTTCAATAGTTTTGAAGTTGCAAAGTTTCAAAGTCTTTACATTAATTTTTATCAAACAAACATATACAGGGTGATTCCAAAATGGCGCATAAGCTCTCCACTCAGTGTTGCCAATCCTTCGTACCTAAATTCTCCACCATGACGAATAAAATTCTCTGCATTTTGCTGAAATTCTCCGCTTTTATAAGGTCTGTTCCAACAAACCAAAAACCTCCCCATGAACGGTTCTGAAACCACTCTGTATATGAATTTCGGATTCTATGCGCAAATTTTCTTCTTTGCGCAGAATCGTGACTACAGGGTACGGTTTACTGCTGCGTTGGAACAAAGCTATAATTTTCGTGTTTCTTGAGAAATAGTCGAACCGGTTAATTGTCAATTGTCGTTGGCCTTACTTTAGAACGTGCCCCATTAACGATTTACCAATTCTCAAGAATTTCAATAAATTATAGGCTGTTCATTTGTACTGCTTTTCTTGCTTCAAGCAGATCTCATCACTAGATCGGCGTTCACTTGTATCATATATACAGAGTGTCCCACGGTGGATGGTGTATTAGACGTTTATGGAGAACTAAAAAGCGGATCATTTTGAAAATTTCGCAACCGGGATAAATGACCGTGATCTACACTTTAAAAATATTTTTGTTTATGCGGTGTTGCCGCTTCTACTCTAAACCAGTGGCAACATCGCTATTTTAAATGAAACACCCCGTATTCAATTGCATATTTGGATTCTACGTAAAATTCTGAGCAGATTTTATGTGATATACCCTATACCTAAGTTCAACTGTTTTGGAAATATTGACAGTTGAAAATTGACTTTTTGCAACTTTGACAGGCTGTAAAACCTGAACGGTTAATTTTAGAGAAAAATCGATTTTACATTCCTATCTTAGATTTTTATAAACTATTATTTGACACCAATTTTGAATTTAATCCATGATTAAAAATTCCAATTAAATTTAATCTCTGGTTAAATTCAAAGTTGGTGTCAAATGATAGTTTACGAAAATCTAAGATAGGAATGTAAGATCGGTTTTCTTCTGAAATTAACCGTTTAGGTTTTACAGCCTGTCAAAGTTGCAAATTTTCAACTGTCAATATTTCCAAAACAGTTGAACTTAGGTATAGGGTATATCACATAAAATCTGCTCAGAATTTTACGTAGAATCCAAATATGCAATCACATACAGGGTGTTTTATTTAAAATAGCGATGTTGCCCCTGGTTTAGAGTAGAAGCAGCAACACCGCATAAACAAAAATATTTTTAAAGTGTAGATTATGGTCGTTTATCCCGGTTGCCAAATTATCAAAATGATCCGCTTTTTAGTTCTCTATAAACGTCTAATACGCCATCCACCGTGGGACACCCTGTATATAAGCTCATAAATAATAATAATGATTTTTCAATTAGGTATATACCATTTCCAGCATTATTTCACACTAGTGAAATTTGATTTCAAATTAATGAAAACTAAATTCACATCAGTGAAATCTAATTTCGCTCAAATGAAAATTGATTTCAAAGTAACGAAAACTAACTTCTCACAAACGAAATTTGATTTCACATTTTTGAAAATGAATTTCAAACTGACCCTTATTAAGGTTTAAAGTCAACCCCCATTTTCTGAACCTTGTGTTCAAAAATTCCAAAAAAATATATGTTTTATGGTTATTGATATACTTTAATCCATAATTTTTTTAAGCAAATTTGACTCGCCATTTTTGAGATATATCGCAAAAACTGAAAAAAAAGTGGTTTTTCACCATTTATTTCAAAAAGAATAGATGAAGTTTCCCGTTATTTTTATTACGAACTACTATTGCAATTCTACGCGACATATATTTTTTTCAAATTTTTTGAACTTGTAGTTTTTTTTATACATAAATAAACTTTATTAACGGACAAGCCATTTACAGTAAATAACATAATACAAAAATACATGACGTTATAATATTAACGAAAAACACAAGAACTTAAAATTTAACATTTACGGTACATATAAATACACTGACATTTAGCGCTGCAGACTATTTAACAAATGTTTACAAGTTTTCAGAGACATGCCAAAAAAATCAAAATTGTTGGGTAGCTGATTAGCTTCTCTGCATATTCTAGCCATAGGGCAGAAAAAACCATAATTAGTCCTATGATACTCGCTATGAAAAAGATGCACTTGCCTAGTCTGTCTCACAGGGGCACGCAGGGAAATGCTGTTCAACAAAGGGGGACAGTCAATTAAGTTATTAAGCAACTTGAAAAGTAAACAAATATCATAATTCCTTCTACGTGCCTCTAAACTAGAAAGACCCAGCAACCGCAACAGGTCATTGTAGCAGACCTCTTCTGATGGTATATGCATCTTATAGGCAATATACCTTAGAAACCGTTTCTGAACTCTCTCAACACAATTTATATGGACCCCATAATGTGGTGACCAAATTGGGGTAGCATATTCCAAAAGGGATCTCACTACAGAACAGTAACCACTCCTTATAGTAAAAATATTATTAAAATCTTTGAGGGTGCGAAATACAAATCCCAAAAGTTTCATTGCCCTATTACAAATATTCTCAATATGTAAGTTAAATGTTAGGTCCTGTCTAAATGTAACTCCCAAATCCTTAATAGAGTCCACTCTTTCAACTACTTGATCATTTAATTTATATTCATAAAAAATTGATGCATGAGATTTAGAAAAGGTTATGGTTTTAAATTTATTTAAATTAAGGATTAGGTCATTCAGGTGACACCACAGAGCAAAACAATTCAGGTCTAGTTGTAACTGCTTACAGTCTGATATGCACTTAACAGGCCTATACAACTTCAAATCGTCTGCATACAACAATATGTCACTGTGATGGATAAAATCTTCAACATCATTAATATAGCAATTAAATAGCAAGGGAGAAAGATGTCCTCCTTGAGGAACACCAGATACGACATTTATTGGAAATGAAATAAAATTTTTAATTCTGACGTATTGTACTCTACCGCCCAGAAAGCTATTTATCCATGCCAAAAAAGTCCCCCGAATGCCCAAGGCCTCTAATTTTTTTGTAAGTATAGATATATTAACCTTATCAAAAGCCTTACTGAAGTCAGTGCTGATGGAATCTACTTAAGTTCCCAATTCTACAGCATTAACAAGATTATCTTGATATAATAAGAGGTTAGAAATAGTTGATTTTCCTTTAATGAATCCATGTTGAGCAGTCGAGAGAACATTTCTAAAGCATGGGGGATTTTTTCAGTCACAATACACTCAAAAACCTTTGGAATAACCGACAATTTACTTATTGGGTGATAGTTTGATATGTCTGCTTTATTGCCAGCTTTAAAAATAGGACTAAGAAAACTTTCCTTCCATTTTTCAGGAAAAATACCCTTTGACAATGACTTATTAAATATTCTGACAAGAACTTCAGACAAAACACATTCAGAATTTTTTAGAAAGTAAACTGGAATGCTATCTGGCCCGCATCCCAAACCATCATCCAAATTACCTATACAATTAAATACATCCATCAAACTTATATTACAAAAAAACAAATCTACAGTCTTAGAATACTGGAAATCAATGTATTTCTCTCTATGATTTACATATGCCAACGAGAAATGTTGTGCAAATAAATTAGCAATTTTTTGAGGGCAGTCCGATTTCTCCTCACCATAAAACATATATTTAGGCAGTTCAGTACTATCCTTTTTGGAATTTACATATCTCCAAAAGTCCCTTTTGGATTGAATATTATTCTCGAGTTCATTTATATAATTAATATGGCTATCTTTTACTAGTTCTTTGCATTTTTGCCTAAGGTTTGAGAAATTCTGATAGTCGACTAATGAGTTGGACTGTTTGTAAGATTTATGCGCAACCTTCTTCATCAAAACATGTTTCTTTAAATCATCACTAAACCAAGTGGGAAACTTTAGGTTTTTAGCCCTACGTCTTGGAACAAACAATTCAATTGCCACATTTAGTACATTATAGAACAATTCGACTACTACATTAATATCATCATTATTATATATAAAATTCCAGTCTACATGTGATAAGTACATATTTATATCAATGAAATTTGCTAGCCTGAAATTAAAATATTCAAAATCATATTGCATGACTTCACTTGGAGGATTCAACCTAACAAGGAACTGCAATGCTGGATGATGCGAATCACAACCAAGCAACGGTTGGTCAACAGCCGAAACATTGGTTACCTCACTACTAAAAATTAGATCCAGAAGTCGACCCCTTGCATTGGCAATAGCATTTATTTGTTTTAAATTAAAAAATGCCATAATGTGAGACAAACACACCACCTGCTGTGTTACAATCCCATGAGGAGTTGCACCATAATCATCATTCAACCAGAAAGTATCTGGTAAATTAAAATCGCCACAAATTATAATATCACAATCATCACTTATGTAATCTTGCAAAACAAAGGATGCAGATTCAGAAAGAGCTTCATATACTTCGAGAGAAGATGCTGGGGGTATATATGCACAACCAATTATTAATTTTTTGGATCCTTTTAAAATTATAGAAACAAATACATGTTCAATACTTTTTACAGGTGAATCTAACTGTAAAGCGGATAAGTTTTCTTTTACGGCAATTGAAACACCACCTCCTCTCGAATGTGAGCTAGTATTATGTGATCGATCACACCTAAATATTTGATAATTAGCCATACCCAATTCCAAACTATCTATTTTTTCATCCAGAAAAGTTTCTGTAAGTAAAATGATGTCATACTCCTCCACAATCACCGAATACATTAATGCACTGAGTTTAGTTCTTAGTCC